CTGAGTTCACACAGTGTGAATGTCTGTGTTTGTTTGTGTAAAGTCTCTGTATAGCTTCTTGTGGGGACATGTTTTTGGAAGGGAGGGACGCTTTACCTGCCGGGGGCAGTGGTGGCTTAGTGGTTATGGCAGCAAACTTGGGTCCGAAAGCCTTCAGGTTCGAGTCCACCAACTGTTCACTTTGGTGATGGGTTAAAAGAGGTCAGAGGTCATGTTTGGTTGTGTGCAGTAGTGTGCTGTGTCACAATGACGACTGAAGTAGTTCACTTTCCACTTTCCTTTCCTAAATAGTATGGCTTCATACACACACAAACACACTCACTTGGAGAGCACCTTCCGTCGTCCTGATCCACTTGTGTCTCATAATACTCCTGTGTTCTTCCTTCATCTCCTGGCTCCTCTTCTCTCCTCCTGTTTCCCTTCATCCTTTGCCCCCTCCATGGAAACTAATTTCCCCCAGTATCATTACAGTTCTTTATGACCTCGTATAAACTGAGAACTGTTATTTCAGCTCGGAGGCCCGCACATAAACCTTTAAGCTGAGGGATTTGCCTGTTGTAATGGCTACTAAAATACTTACTTGAGTGAACTGCTAATAGACACAGTTTCTCTGCCGCGATCCAAACCGCTCGCGGGTTCCCTTTTCCACATGAGTGCCAGTATAGTTTTTATGAGCTAGCTTCTGAAGGCACGAGGCCATCTATTCTGGCTCAAAAAGAACTTAACAAGTGTCACTGCATCAGGATGTCTCACCGCAGTAAATACTGAATCCATCAACATAAAACTTGCGTTACTGCCTCTTGTAAATACAATAACATGTTTTTATCCCCAAGTTATCTTAGCTTGGTTTGCTGAGCGTGCACACATGGCTTATATTTATAAGGTCTAGTAGTACAACCACCGTCCAGGCTCGGATTGCTTACCACTAAGCACAATCAGTGATTTAGTGGGTCGTTTATTTCTGTGGCCACAAGGTGGTGGTTGTGTTTTTTTTTTCTGCCTTCCTTTTTAGCAGCGATACCAACTAATTTTCTTGCTGATGGAAACACATCAATACATTAATTAACGTACAAAATCAAAGATATTGTATTGAGAGGTAAGAAGCTACAACACCTATATTATATTGTGAAACCTTGAGGTTTCACAATATAATAATATATAATTATAATATGTAATATGAAGTAACAAGTCCTTAAAGCTCAGTCACATTTGAAAAAATAGTACAAGTTAAACGATGTCAGGAATCAAATAATAAAAAAACCCAAACTGTCTCATAGACTTGTCTCTAAATGTCACTGTCTCTAAAACCTATTTTTGTTCTGCAGTCATTTTCAAAGTCTGACTTTAGTTTTTTTTAAATGACACTCTTGCCCTAAGACCTCATGCAGAAATCTAAGTAATTCATTTGATGTGCACCCCAGCTATTTAATACCAAAATTGATTTTGGTACTGACATTTGTGAAAAAAAATGCAGAAGATGATCTCCCATATCAAATAAGCTGTTCTATTAGACGGATAGATGACGGACACCACACTCCTCTCATCCTCCTCATCTGCCACCTTCATCCCTTTCTCCCCGTTTACCTCAATCCCCCCTCGATCCTTCCTGCCGCTTTACAATCAGACCAGGCAGCACAACAAGACCCACCACTTATGAGACATCAGACGCAGGTCAATAGGTCATCCTTTTAGCTCCCTGCCTCCATGATCCCTCCATCCATCTGGCTATCCACTACATCCCTCATCTCTGATGTATTTTTTTCTGTCATCTTCCACCCATCCATCCATCATCCTTTCCATCCATCTCCCCTGTCCTCCTCTCTCCCTCCTTCTGCCTAGCATGTTATGATGGCTTGTTATGAGTGGATAGAAGGATTTATGTCCGTTTGTATTTATGAGGGAGAGTCGGGAACAAAGACGAGAGAGAAAAGGGAAGAAAGACACAGGAGTAAACAGGTACAGGGCAGTCAGTGAAGAGACAGTGTGGTCCAGAGTGCTTCGTGTCCTGATCTGTTCGTGGTCCTCGTCACTGTGGTGGGCTGCTCCAAACTCTCTAATTGGGATCACAATCATGGTATATTTTTTTATTCTTCAGCAACTAGAGATATCTTTCCTGGTCACGTAAGCACTGAAATTGAATTTTGCTCTGAGTTCACTCCTGGAGTGAACTCATGCTGGTGCTGAGATTTTGAGGCCTGGGTGGCAGTCACATCCACCCCACACCCTGTGGAGATTTAGAATGAAAGGTGGGACAAAGGTGGCAATAAATAGATAAGAGTTTTAGAAAAAAAAGTGTTTTTGTCACTGTGGCCAGTCTAAGAACATACGCCAAACATCGATTTCTGCAAAAAAGAAAAAAAGAAAATAGGTTTGGTTTAATTTTGGTAACAATGTTTAAAAGAAATGGGAAAATCAGAAATAGAAAACAGTATCAGCAAGTGTAGACCAAACTCTGAAATAAACATCAAGTAATAATGTTTGACAAAAGTGTGAATTTTTAATTGTGTTTAAAATAGTAAATCTGTTTTTTAATCTCTGTAGAACAATGGTTTTTAATTGTGTTTAAAATAGTAAATCAGTTTTCTAATCTCTGTAGAACAAAGATGTTAATTTTTCCTTTTTATTTGAATTTAAAATTTACTTTAATTTTAAAAGGTGAACTTGCATTAGGGTATACCAAAGCTCCATCTTGGCTTTGAACAATTCACTATACTTTATCATATTTAACACAAATTTATATTTAAAACTAATCTTTAAGTTACCTTACTGCACATTATATTAAACAACATATATACTTTTTATTGTATTTTCATTATTTCATTGTTCCATTTGCTCTAATGTTAAAAATAATATATCTTATTTTTAAAATAGTTTATAGTGCGTTATATGGGATCAATATAGTACAATTTTTTTAATCAATTTTAAGTTCAATAAAAGAAATATTTATGACTTTAATACACAAACCTACATCCCACAGTTCCGATCTGTTGTGTTCGTTGACTTAATGACAAAGTAAGCAAAGCAACTGTGAAAAGCAGAAGAAAGATTTTTTTTTTCAAAAAGTATGAATTCAGATTTTTTTTTTTTTTTCAAAAAGTATGAATTCAAAATCCTTCATCATCACGGCCAAAGACACATGGACGACTGTCCAGAGAAGACGGACGAATGTGCCTCAAGTCCCAGCTGTTTTTCACAGGGGAAGTTTTCTCATTTTCCTCCTTGTACTGGGATATTACGACCAGTCACGCCTCAATGATTGGCTCTTTGTCCCCCTCTGGGGTCGATTGTCATTTTTATCTACCAATTGATAGCCAAGCTTCCTGCCCTGAGCCCTCCCTCCCAGGAGACCCATGTAAAGTGGATGAGAACAGGAGGACAATTCCATCCCTCAGCAGCTCCATCTCCCACATCTGTAGCTGGGAGCCTGATAGCGTAGGATTTCTTATCCCGTGTCTGCACACCGTCTTATTACACCTAGAGATGACGTTTTAGTAAGGCTCTGTGGGACACTGTTTTATACTGGTGTATGATTTTGTAAATGTAGAATAAACTTCCCAGTAGTTTCTAGCTCATGGTTTTAACAAGGTTTTAAATATAAAACCTCATTGTAACTTTGTATTTATTTGTTGTTTTTCTTCATCCATTTTGTTTTCCTTAGGAATACATCAAAATTGACAAAACAAATGAGACACAGGCGAGGTGACTGACTCTGACTGTTGTAGCTGTAGTTGAGGTTCAGTGTTGATGTTTTGCGTTGTTTCCAGGTCACTCTGTTCGCCTGTTGGGGCAGAAGAAAGATGGAGGCAAGAGGCTGGGAGGAGCTCGACTGGACCTGCCCAAAATCAGGAGAAACCCTCTCATTGAAATCATCTCCATTAACACGGGGTAAGTCACAGACAGGCCGACAGAAGTCACGCCTCATGAAATATTCAGCTCCGACAGTGGATACAATTTCACTGCTGTCTGGTTTATAGTGTGTGTGTGTGTGTGTGTGTGTATGCATGGACACGTGTGCCCTCTGCCTCACTGCACAGCCACTTGCCCAAAGCCCCGTCCACGCTTCTAATTCCTCCAATTTACCACGCGTTGTTTGAGGTGTGTGTGTGTGTGTTTGTCTGTGTGTGCGTTTACTATTGTAATCGATAGCCAACAGGTGTGTAGCCCTCTTAGAGTCTCTGCTTCCAATTCTACCTCCATGGTGAAATAAGACAGAAACAACAGACCTAAGCTCTTCGTTCACGCCGCCTCGGCAACCCCGTTGACACTGAGCCAAATAAGCCCCTGCGCGTTCGCCGCCTCTTCTTCCCATTGTGTGCCATTGTACTGTACATGCCAGCATTACACCATCAGAGGTGTGACACGGAACACAACTGTGTCTGTGTCTGCGTCTACGCTGCTGGCTCTTCATTCAGACAGACGTTCTCCTGGCTCTGTGAACGCTGCTGCTGCTGCCAGCAATAAAAGAACAGCAGCACTTCCATCTCCACCTTGTTGTTGTTGTTGTTTTTTTTTATACTCCGAGCTAAGACTAAATAAAGTACATTCCCACTCTGTACATAAAAGTCTATTCCAAAGCGGTGTTGTACTTTTAATGTCACAGGGTTGTGTTGACCTTAAGTCACTAACTTAGTTTCATTTAAACAGTACAGGGACACACACACACACACACACACACACACATTATGGGTTAATTGCACCTTGTTTACAGATCCGTGTTTCCACTCTAACCCAATGTGCCGTATCCTCAGTAGACTAGTTAAAATAGGTTACGACAGACTAATTCCACTGTTCTGGGCCTCTACTGATAATAATCCATCAATCATCAGTGGTGGTGGTGGTGGGGAGGGGGGTCGACGGGGCGTCCCTCGTGCTGTCTGTGTGTTAGTGGCTTCATAAACAAAAGTACGTTAGAAAACAAGTGCTGGACACAGCCATGACCTGCCGTACGTCTCTGGACTTCGTTCGTTGACCATCCAGATCTACTCATGCAGTACTTTTTTGCATGAGGGGTCAAAGAAATGTGTCGAGGCTGTCACTAATTACTATTGAGAGGTCGTCAACATTATGCCGCCAACAATGCTCCGTCTTTGTCTTCACTTGTTTTCTGTACAGTTGTTGGGGAGAGGTGGACTTTCCCTGGGTGTCCTTGAACCTGCTGGAGTAATTACAGCAACAGTCCTGTGGCTGTAACACAGTGACCGCTCCAACAACAGGGCTCTGACCTGTTCTCAGGTCCCGACCTGTTATTTATGGCAGTGATATGACCAGAGTGGGGCCTTTTATGATTATTTCAGCCGTAATAGTGATGCTGTAAGTGCGGCGTGATGCTGCCATCCATTTACCTCTGTCTTGAAATTCAGAGATGGCATCTATTACACACAGTAAAATCCAATTATATTAAATCTCACGCTCACATTTCATTTTCCCTCTTATACGTTTAACAGCTTCGTGTTATTGCTTTTTTACTAGCTTGGATTACTCCGTCTTAATTCAAGAAGGTGGCGAGTGTTCACCAAAGTGGACAGGAGTGGAGATGTTTGTTATCTGCACAGGAGCAGAGATGTTTGTTATCTGCTCCTTATTTATTTATTTATTTGTTCTTTTTTATTAGAGCTCCATCGACCAAGGACAGCGATCCAAAGAAATGACATTTTTGTGCTTCAGTAGGCATTAGAAGAAAGGAAAAACTGTAGAAATGTTGTTGTGAACGCTGTCAGTTTGGTAGAAATGTGTTTGAGATGAATTGAGACTAATGTCCAACACATCTCTGGAGTTACAGTATCTTCTGAACCTAGAATGAACATCACCTTCAGGTCCAGTGGTGTTGTCTTAAGACCTGTGATTGTGACATGTTGTAGAACAGGGGTGTCAAACTACTTTTTGGTCCTCCAGTGAGATGGCAGGGACAACAGTGGCCCCCGGGGCATTTGAGGTTTAGGCTCCTGGTGTAGAAATTGTATGTTTTTACTTCCTAGCAAACATCAATGATTATCAACTAGTATGGGTAGTCCAGTTGCGGCCCACATACTGGAGCCGGACCGCTGAACTTTCCAATCCGACAAACATCACATAATAGTGTTAGACAAAAATGTGATTTTTTTTTTTTTTTTAAGTGTCTGTCCAGGAAAAATGTAGTCGGTGACCCCTGCTGTACAGCCTAGGTATCGTTTTAGTGATGATGTATTTTTGACTGAGTGATTCAGAAACTGCATCAGCCAGTGAGAGGCATGAACAGCAACACAAGACCCACAGATGTCTTTCCATGTCCAACCACCAGGCTTCAGCAGTGATACTTGATCAAAGGTCAAAAAAACACAAGAAATACTTGGTAAAATAAAACTCTATCAGGTGATACTTGATCAAAGGTCAAAAAAACATAAGAAATACTTGGTAAAATAAAACTATAGAACAACTCAGTTAGAGGACACTGAGGACCTCCAAACAACCCTTCAAACCCACCACTCTTATTGAAAATCCACACTTAATGCCTCCTTTTGTATGAGTGAAGTATCACTAATGTGATGCAGTTTTATTAATGCCGCTCTGATTTGTGTCCGCTGCTGAAGACCTCAGAATGTGTCCTTTATGCAATCTGTTTCGGATGATCTGTTTGAATTCCTCTGAGGTAGCAGTGACATCATTGGTGACATTTGTCAGGAGGATGAAACAGAGGGATCTTTGTCCGACTAATACACACACTGACACACACACACGTACATCATCATCATCAGCAGCAGCAGCAGCAGCAGCAGCAGCAGTTGTTCCTCAGACGGCCTCTGCATCAGATGAGAACATTTCAAAGCTCCTTATACGAAACATCTCAGTGTGTGGCCCCACTCGCCACTTGTTGCTGGTGTTTCATTATGTGTCAACATGTGGAATGCATTCATTTTCGCACTCTTACTCTGGACACAATAACAGTTGACGTCACACTGAAGTATTGTGTGTCTCCTTGGAGCAGCTGCAGGTCGCGGTAATGCTTTGAAGCTCAAATGAATTTTTATTGAATAGATAATTATAACATAAAATCATGCACGTCAACTGCTGTTTAATCTCGTTCTGTATACAGTACAGATTTTTTTTTTAGTTGCTGTGTAGACGATGGATAAAAAAAGAACGACATTCGACTTATTGTATTAAAATAGACATTAAAGTTAATTGGTGAATGTTAATTAAAAACACAGTCAGAACTTTTGCAGGTTTTTGTTTTCAATAGTTTATGCCAATTTATTCTTTTTTTTCTAATGTAACTGAGAGTACAGAGTGGTACAATAATAACCAATAGTGTGTCATATAGTTATGAACCATCATGTATAACAGTAACAAACAGAAATTAGGCATGATCAATCCATCACAGATCACATTTTCTCCATGTTTAGATCCAGTTGTGAGTGTATAAAAGTCAGTTAAATACAGTGTAGTTTGGAGTCTTGTTATGGAGGCCTGTTTTACACAGTTGACCACAGGTGAACAGGAAGTCAAACAAGGTGACTTCTGTAAACGGCACCCATCCATTATTTTTTTTCCAAACTTTACGCAGTCACGGCCGTACGAATGATGGTTCAGTCTGGTACTGACTCATAAATCTGCTCCGCGTTCATGTCACTTTCACTGTCACTGCTCAGCCACACAACAGCTCACCAAAGCCATTCACCTGGGATTACCTATGAAAATTTAATTTCACATTTAAATTGATTTACAATATTACTTTCATTAACTTGCATATTAATTTCATTTGCACCTATTAAAGTTGAATTAAATTGCCTTTTTTTAACCCCATTATATCAGAAAATAAATTCGACACAATCCAGTCCTCAGAAGCCCTCTGGCTTTGAATCAAAGGAATATTGACACGTGATTTGTATTTGACACACTCATCTACCAAGGACCTAAATAAGATCTTTGTTAGGATTAGTTCCATATTTGTACCACGGTTACTGCTGTTATTGACTGAAAAAAAATTATATATACACTCCATTTAGAGTTTATTGTTTTTTTCCACACTTATATTTTCGTCTTACTGTGATTTATGTAGTCGCAGAAGCAGATGTTATGTACACATATTATGGATGTGTAGGTGACGCAGTGTTTGTTTACAACACCACCCAACTGTATAAACAGTATTATGAGAACAGTTAGTGGTGCAGTTAATAAACAACTTGTCACCTGTTGGGTAAACATAGCATTTTCATTGTTATTTCTCAACCACTGTCCTGGAACCAAAACTTGTCACACTAATACAGTAGATACTGGTGGTTAAGGTAAAGGTCATAGGTCAGAGAGGTCGTAGATGCCATGAGCATGGCACCGTCTCCACACACTGTCAGAGAGGTCGCAGATGCCATGAGCATGACACCTCCACACACTGCTCCCTGGCTTGATCTGCCCACTGCTCTCTGTGGTGATGGGTTAAATGTTTAATGAATCACTTTCACATGTAATAAATGAACTGATCCGTCTTTGCTGCCAAGTGGATCCTTAAAAAAACGAACCGAATGCTTTGATAATTTCAGCAATTTCTCAGTCTTTGTAAATTTCTGTTTTGTAAATTTTCTGCAAATTTCACCTGGTACTCTAGACAGATGTCATAGGATGTTTTGAATATATTATACTGCGAAGGCCTTTAAGAAAATGAAGGATAAAAGTTGAGGACTTTGGTGAAGGGTACCTCTGAATACTTGATGCTGGTCTCAAATACACATCTGGTACCACAAACCTTTGACCTTTGGACATACTTAGAAATATATAGCAGGTTTCATATTACACTTACGGTGCAGAAGTCCAAGTGGGTGTCATTCTTTACCACCTCCACTCCCCAGTGAAAGGAGAAACCTCTTCTAGATTGGGTTTTGTGACATCTCGTCAGTGTGTGAAAAAATATTTAG